TTTTTGCTCACTGTACATAAGCAATTTCATTGAATCAATGAGTTATAAAACCTGTTATATCCAATAAAACTAATTTTGCAGAAGAGATAAAAAGACTAAACAGCTTTTATGTACAGAGTTAATATTAATACCCCAACTTCATCAGGTGTAGTGTTTTTATAAGTAAAGTTGCTATGAAGTGACACCAGAAACTGTTGTTTCTCCCATCTTGCTTTTCCATAGAAACATTTTAATAATACATTTTTCTTATAATGCTGCAGCCACCAGCTTTTGAAGTCATGCATTATATTTCTGATATTTGAAGTATGTGTAGTCACGTTCTTTACATTTCATAGTTATTTTTATCACTTTTTTTATTTTAATGCATATACCATATAAAGAACTACCCTCTGAATCATTCATTGTGTAATAAAAAGCATCAGCAAAATAACGAGCCTAAACTAAATAATTAATTGTTAGGTTATGCGAACAATTTCATAAGCAAGAATGGCGATATATTTCCAAGTTTATTCCGAGAATAGGTCATCTCCATGGCATGGCATGTTTTCAAATTAAATTCAGATTTCACTGCACAAAATATAAAAATACAAATAGGAGGACATGAAGTTTTTATATTCCTAAGTATGTATCTACGTGAATTTAACTTAAAAATGCAAGAAACTCATTTTTTAAAAAAGTGGAAATGGCTACTTTTTGGACATATCTTTTCAATTGTACAAAATGAAGACGATAATGTTTACCTGTCTTATAACTTTAACACTAATGCAAATTTAAAAAAATACTGCCTTTTTTTAAATCATATTTTTAATTGCAAAACTAAAAACTAAGTTTTACGACAAACTGCAATTATTCAACTTTTTGGGGCTGTTGATTTGATATATATATATATNTCCATTATGCGTTCTCCTGCAAAGAAAGACAATTGTTTTTTTACATAGAACACCTTTCCTATGCTAAACTGCCGTGAAAATATCGTAAAACGAGTTTTAAATATATATATATATATATTTTAAAATGAGGATATGATTGCAACTATTCTTTTGATTAACTTAAAATAACTCCTTTTTCGTTCTATGGGTCATAAAAACTACATTCATGTTAGTGAATTACTAATTCCTTAATGATTGTTAATAATAATTAAATTACTATTTTTTTTTGATAATCATAACCTCCTCCGGAAAGAGTTTGTGATGTTCATCACTTGAAAAATTCAGTGTCAAGAATGGATGTCGCGAAACTCGACTCAAATTTTAAAAAGCGGGTAGCAATGTTTAAGGATAGGAAATAGTATTCAGTGTTTCTGCCTTAAGACTATTCATACAGCTTTTATTATTTATTTTTGACTTTAGTTTTCGACTGTAATGTGAAATTACAACCCTAATTGATATTATAATTAAGAATCAATAAAATTCATGAAATTTAACAAACTACTAATACATGGTGCTGCCATCTATTGCTTTAAGGTTGAAATAATACAGATAGTATTATTTGATATGCACATCATTCGCAGGAATAATAGTGCACAGGACACATATAATAATAAGCAGGATAAGGTTTTAGATCTCAGCTATCCCTAACTGAAGAAGTTAAGGAATAAAAATTATCTGATCACTTTTTTGATTTTCAGGTCTCTGAAAGCCAGACATCTTTCGCTTGCAGAAATAATTTGGAACTGAGGAGTTCTCTATTTCATTTATGTTATATCTAGGTAAGAAATCGATTTTTTTTCACGACATGTTAGTTATAGATAAATTTATTTATGATATCAAGTGTGTAAGGAAAGAGAAAGTGGAAAGGTGTAGCTTCTTGTGCTCTCACTTTTCGATGTTCCTGTCTTCATGTGTCTTTATTTTGTTCGAGATCTCTGTAAATTTTAGGTGCCCTATTTAGAAATATAATAATAAAATAGAAATATAGTAATTATATAAAAAAATAAAAAATTGAGATACTTTTAGCAAGAAAAAAAATAAAATAAATAAAAGTTTGCCTTTTAAATGAGATAATTTTTATTAATTAACATTTAATGAGTAATTACAACTTGAGAAAAAAATGAAATTTTTTAAAATATAGTGTCTTAACGTTTAGGCAAATCGGAGAACACACAAAAAAAATACAAATAAAAAAATAATCAGGTTTTAAATAATCTTGCTATGTATCCTGGTGCTGCCATCTGTAAATTTAATCAAGAAAGAATACAGTAGGCTTCGTCGCGGAGCAATGTTTACTCCTTTACCGTTAAATGTTAAACAGCCCCAGAAACGTTTATAAGGAATAACAGAATTGCATCTATTTTAGATGTAACTATTTTTCGACATTTATGTTGCTTTAATCAAATTATATTTTTACAGTGTGCCATTTTATGAAACAGTCTCAAATTTATTATTATCTTTAAATAATTTCTATGAGATTTAAAATATGCAATTTTCCAAAAATATTTAAGTAAATTTTTAAATGTATTTATAATTTAGTTAAATTAACAAAGGGTCTGCGGTAAAATATTATACGAAAATTGTTTTTCTTTTTTTTCCTTGCAATCTTTGGGATTTTTTTTAAATTTCCAAATAAAGAAGCATCAACCAAGAAATTAATTATTTTAAAATAACCAATTTAAGTATAAAAGCTGTATGAGGAATTATAAATATTAAATGTAAAACATATTATAATGCTTGAAAAAAATACTTAATAGCATTTATTTTTAAACAGACTTCTTCTATTCCAATTTGAAATTCTTTTATTATTCATTTGAGGTATTAAATATAAATAAATATATTTATTTTCAAGTAAAAAAATAATAATGAACGGAATATTTTCTTTCTCTGAAAGGTTTTAAAATTTTCTTTGTTGGATAAAAACTAAGATAAAATTTCATTACATACATTATTAAATATATATAACAGAATCGATCATCATAATTCTAAGCTATTTTATTCAATTTGCTTAATGAAAAATGTTTGATGAATCAGAACATTGAATTTTCAATTATGCAACAGTTTCTTAGACAATTGAGTTTCCTTTTTTCGATAAATAATAATTATAAATATGCTTATTTGTCAATGAAACTAGGGTACTTTAAACCCAAAGCCCCTTGGGGTTCTTATTAAAATACTTTATGCGCCACTCGACCCCTCCCGTCATTTTAGGATTATTTATATATATATATATATATATTTAGAGAGAGATGTTCCTTAAAAGGCTATGGAATAAATGATTAAAATTCGATCAAATTACGAAAAGTCACAAATACTCAGTTCTTTCAGTAAATCATTTTTTGAATTACAGAGCATCAACAGACGTGAGAGGCCTAACAAGTCCCAGCTGTCTTTCTAGTTTTAAGAATATGAATTTTTATTTTGTTTCGAGATCATATTCTTACTAAGAAATTTTTTTTAAAAAAAAAGTTTTTTATTGTAACAATAATAAAACAAAAACCATAATTTGTTATGTAATCAAAAATCTTAAAAGGAAATCAGAAAAAGAATGGCAATTTCTTGACGCAATGTTTTTCATCGTTTTTACGATCTCTACATTTATTTCAAAAGTTTTAATCCGATTTTCTTTCATCTTTTTATTTTTGATTTACTTAAAATAAAAGAGTATCTTTGAAGTCTTACTTTGCAGTCTTATTTTTTTCTCAAAATTTAGGTTATTTTATACAAAGCAAAATAAATAAATAAAAGGAATTAGAGATAAGGGCACAAAATATACCCTCTTCTCCACCATTCAAAAAAATTAAAATGGCTACTGTTGATGTTCAGGAAGAATAGAAACAACTCAACATCGTTTCATTTTAACCATGTAATGCGCTTGAAACGTAAAAGCCATGTAATACGTTTTATCATAAGAACATCCTAAATCATAAAAATTTACATTAACAATTACTTACGTTCTTTTCATAACGGTACAGTCTTTTAAAGACAGGAAGCATTTCAATAAAGGTTTTAGAAATTCATTAATATTAAAGCAATTTATACTTTTGAAAATGGCAGAGACTTCTATTTTCTATTCTAACTAATGTAAATGGAAAAGCATTTAAGTTATTTTCTTTAATTATTTCTGAAAATTCATAACGAAATGCAGTTAATTGTTATAGTCCCCAATATTAAAAAGTTTTATTCATACCATGTGTTGAAACAAAATTAATAACCAAAACAAGCCTTTTATTAGCGCATAAATTTCTTGCTGTATTAGCAATCGCATATACTTAGAATAGTTTATATATTCGATAAAATATGCTCAACATAACTCGAAGCAAATCAACTGTACTTTGGAGACCGGTACTTTTAAAGAACCTTCATAAAAAAATCATCTAAACCAGCAAAAATATTCAAACAAAAAACAGAACGGAATAAAAAAAATATTGTGATATTCTGTGCAGAAAATAACTTTCTATGTAAGCCAACTTACAAAGAAAATTATTAGCAGAAGAATTCCCTTACAATTCGTCAAGTCTAGAAATATTTTTTTAAGAAAGCGATAATTGTAAAAAAAAGATTTATTCTTATTTTAAATAGTATTAAAGGCTCAGTGATTAAGAGGACGCCATACCATCAGGAGAAACTTTTCATCACAAATTCTCTTTCACTTCCATTATTTAAAAAAAGAATAAGTGAATTCAGGCAAACCTAACACGTGCCATGAAGTTTCAGTTGTTAAAAAAATTTCAAAACATCAAAATGCTAAACAATGGGTACTAACTTGTCTGGAAAGTAGAAGTGGCCTGTGCGCATTTAATACATTGAAATAAAACTACGATGCCACCGTTAGTCATGAAATTTTAGAACCTTAACCTCCATGTTACAGCTCGACAATTACTCGCCCCTCCCCCGGCTGTTGTGGGAATGCTTCTGTAAAAAACATACTTACGCGAAACTTAGAAAGTTACAGGACTTCAAGCACTAAGGAAAAACCGAACCACAGATTCTATTTGTTATACGCTCCAACAATTTAAGAGTAAAAATAGAAATTCTTCTTAATTACTAAAAAATGACAAACTCTTTATATGATTTTTAAATACTTTATTCAGCACTTTATAAAAAGTGGACGGAATACCCATAAAAGCTATTCATAAACATTTCTCTGTACAGTTTAGTTCAGCCATTAGAGGTTCGTATAAAAATATTTGTTCTGATAAACTTATCAGCGATGTATATACATGAGTGAAATAAACTTTCCATCTGTTAAAAGCTGTACAAGAGACATAGAAAACAAATAACCACATCACAATTACACTTTCACACTGATATGTTACAAAAAAAATAGACACAACAAAGAATTCAATCAACATAAAAGATCCCTTTTGATTTTTAAGAGATTTACTTTACATAACATATCTTACACTTTAATTTCATGCATACATTTATTTAAATTTAAAAAATTCACAATAATAAACCTTTAATAAAGTAATTGTACTTAAAGTATATGATACTAACAAATAAAATGTTTGCACGTGATTGCAAATTTTGATTTTTCTTCATAAATCAGTTCTCTTTATTCAACAGTATTGCAATGTTTTCACCCTATAGTAAACAATTCAAAAACTTCAATATTTACAAACAAGCACATAACGCTATACAAGCAGAAATGGAGAATAATCTTTTAATACAACAGGAAATTAAATGATAGATTGCAATGATTTTTACTCATAAAATCTTTTTCAATCAGATAACTAAATTATGTAAAAATTTATATGTTATGAGAAAAACTTATAAAAATTTCATATGTAAAATGAATCGCTTTGAGTTTGCAAATGTCTAGTTTAACATACTAAACATATATGCTATGATTGAAATGGTTTCAGTAAGTTTTGTTAAAAATATTGATACACTTATCTTAAGTAGTGATACTGATATGATTTGCATAAGTTGTTTTTTAGATATTGATATAACTATCATGATTTTTTTTCGATACTGATATAATTATCATAAATTAATTTTCAGATATTGATAGAATTCTTTTCAGTTTTATCTTAGATAATGATATGATTCTCATAAGTTTCGGTTTTTGTATGAATACGATTGCCATAAGTTACATTTTAGATATTGATAGAATTCTTATCAGTTTTGTCTTAGATATTGATATGATTCTCAGAAGTTTTGCTCTATGCGTTGATATGATTGTTATTAGTTACATTTTAGATATTGATAGAATTCTTATCAGTTTTGTCTGAGATATTGATATGATTCTCAGAAGTTTTGCTCTATGCATTGATATGATTGCTATTAGTTACATTTTAGATATTGATAGAATTCTTATCAGTTTTGTCTTAAATATTGATATGATTCTCAGAAGTTTTGTCTTAGATATTGATATGATTCCCAGAAGTTTTGCTCTATGCATCGATATAATTGTTATTAGTTACATTTTAGATATTGATAGAATTCTTATCAGTTTTGTCTTAGATATTGATATGATTCTCAGAAGTTTAGCTCTATGCATTGATATGATTGCTATTAGTTACATTTTAGATATTGATAGAATTCTTATCAGTTTTGTCTGAGATATTGATATGATTCTCGCAAGTTGTATTTAATTATTGATAAGACTCTCCTAAAATTTTAAATACTTATATAAAGCTAACGAAAATATTTTTTATATTGATATGAATTTCATAAGTTAAATAAATTATTTTTTCTTGGATTATTCAAGTTGAGGAATATGCAATACAAAATATGATTTTTATAGATGCTTGATATATATATATTTTTTATAATTGGAAATACGATATATTTTTTTCAGATTTCAAATGGCTGATAATATTTGCAAATACATTTTGTAAAAACAGGCATAATTAAAATAAAATAAAATAATTTTTCCACTTTTAGAAAACAATATATTGCACTTAGATTAAAAACGCAAGCCACAAACAATCTTCTTCCCTAGCAAGCACTAGGCGAGAGGTTTGAAAGCAGAATGAATGAAGCATTTCTATCGAGCTCTCATTGAGAGCTGGATGAAACTTGTGATGAAATGCTGTGTTCCAAAAGACCTCCTTTCTACTGTATAGCTGATGTGTGGAAGCTCATGATGACATCTCTATGACTTTCAAATGACCTTGAGAGTTAAGAGATGTTATTGAAAATGTGGGTTATAGATCTCTTTTCACAGTAACCCTGGGATGGAGCTGTAATGGAAATTAAATAACATTAAGCAATGATTGATGGGCGATATTTTAATCTCAAATAATATTGTCAATGTAACAGAGTTCCTACTCAATTTCAGAAAAAAAATTCCCTGATCAGAAAAAAATTTCACTAAAACTTGCGACCATATTTTCATCAGAAAACTTTGATTCTTTTATTTGTAATGTGAAATATTAGATTTTCTGTGTAAAATAATATTAAATGAGGAAAGGAACATTTCTGTTTGCCTAAAATGAGAACCTCTAATAACAAATAATTGTAATAGATATTAGAATTATTCAACTCGAATCACAATTACTGTTACTGACAATTTTAAGACTGGTAATTTTCCAGGTACGATATAGGAATATTCCAGGTTTTTGTAAAAAAATTTCATCTTTCCCTGATTATTGGGGTTAAAATAAAATTCCCTGATAATTCCAATTTTCCCTGTTCTCTCTGACCCATGGGAACCCTGATGTAAGATCCTATGTAATTATTATAAAGATAGAACCTATGTTACTCTGGGATGAGAAAAATCTCAATTTTTGCAAGCATCGTATCATATAATGGCGCTGGAATCAATTAATATTTTCATAACTGTGGCACTCATTTGATGTTCTCAATCACTTTTATTTTTGTACGAAGTTATTTTTTTATACTTATTCTATCATGAGTGAGTTGTTTTAGACATGGATTTCTAAAGATTGTTTACCTTTAATTTTAAATACTTATTATTATTTGTTGTTGTTGATTTACGTCGCACTAGAGCTGCACAATGGGCTATTGGCGACGGTCTGGGAAACATCCCTGAGGATGATCCGATTATTATTTATAGTTTTAAGTTACTATGGCAACTATTAGTATGGATTTGTATGGATTATAATGAATTAAGCAAACTAAAACAAGAAGGAGAAAAGAAAGAATGTGAATCGGCGTATTTGTAAATGAGCGAATCGGGTTATAAATAAGTATTAAGAAGAGTTTTAAACTAATAATTTAAAACTTGGTTATCCATCCTCAAAATTTTGGAAATTTTTTTCATTGCTACAAAAACACTTAAAAACTGCAATGCAAGATCCACCTTTCAAAGTTAAAGGGTTGGTTTTGTTTGTAATTAATCTTTTTTAAACAAAACCATATCCCATTCAAATTTATAGGACACGTATTATTCATATTGTTTGAATCAAAATTTATTTCTAGATTCAAAAATCAATGAATTAAACAGTAATCATTGAAATGTCCAGATTTTATTTATAAAATGTCTAGATTCTGCCTCAGTAGTAAAATAACATTTCCTTTTGATACAAACCTATGTAATTCACACTTGGAATAAACAGGTGATAGTCCAATCCAATCTCTAGGTACCTTTTAACATGTCTGAGAAACTGCTGGCAGGTCAAAGTAGGACATAGAAAGACGAAAGTACCTAACCTAAAATCACTAAAGAATGTGGCAAGCATATAGCTTTCATTTCTTTTATTTCAGTACTTTTTTTTCTTTTAAGAGCTTTTTAAGAAGGAAGGACTCATTTATTTTATTTTGATCAGGTGTTATCGAGCGTCAAAGTTGAGACAATCAAAGAGGAAACCTCATCTTATGCAGTAGACAAAAAAAAAAAAAGAAAAGTAGATAAAAATTAAATGCTTACACCAAGTAGGTTCCTTGGCACATATCCTTCCCTGTCGTTGTGTTTGCTCCACCACCACTCCCTCTCCAAATCATCTCCCTTCCTTAACACCACGAGCTGATCACCATCACGGAAGGAGAGCTCATCACTGTTTTGACTCTCGTAGTCGTACAGAGCGTACACAACACCACCGTTCAAGATACCCAACTTCTCTTGCATACCTATCATTACACGAGAATAATTTTTGTAAAATAATCATCAAATTAGAACATGAAATGTAAGCAATCTTGAATTTGTAAAGATAAATCGAAATCACTCGAACAATTCCTGAGAAATCGAATTTTCAAAAAAATCCTTTTTTTAAAATTTGATTTCTCAGGATATATTTGACCATTGTTGCTCAAATTTTGTATTTCCAGATAAATTTACATTCCTTAAAACGATGTAAGAACTGTATATTTAACAATTCAAAATTTTTTCAACTGTTATTAAATAAATAATACCTAATAATAAATATTTTCTAAAAGTTATTTTTTGCATGGAATTATCTTTGGATAAACAAATTTTAAAATTGTGTGCAAAAACTTTTCAGTTAGCTTAAAATGTTTTTGAGATATGGTGAAATACGCAAAATTTAATATTAAGGGGTCCAAACTTAGAGTTGCTCTCCTAACCAAAATATGGGACCATATTTCCCAGATTACGACTATTTCCGATATTTTGAGGGTCAAAAAATTTTAATCTATTGAAAAAAGGTAATTTATTCAAAGAAATTATGTTTTTGTATTTGAATTCCTAACTTAAAATACTGTCGCGCTAATTAATTAGCATATTTGAGGATCATCCCCTTGAACTATTAAAATTGACTCACTAGAACCTGAAGATTTGATCATTAGATCAAAAGTTATTCAGGGTGAGCCGTATATTTTTTGCGCACTGTACACTGTTGTAATTACAGAGGACTCCTTCAAACAGTTTTTTACAACTAGATAGGGTATTTTATTGAATAAAAGCATTCAAATGATTGATTAAAAAAGAATATTTTTTCAATTTAATTTTTGGCTTAGTTTAAAGGTACCAGCAAACCGATCTCTCGTTTTAGGCATTGACATAGAATATTTAAAAATGTATATTTTTGATGCATAATATTAAATGGAATGATGACAAAAAAATTATTCAAAGAAGACAAAGTGTGTAATCTACATCACACATCATCTATATTCACAATCTAGGTTCTTATTTATGTATTATTATAACAGAAAGAGAATAAGCAGTGAAGTTATAATTTTTTTAAAATATTATAATTTATAAGTATATGCGTATATAATTGTAATTTATAGTTTTTTTAAATTAATGTGATAGATTTTTTTTTTAAATGTAAACGTTTAATAGCAGAGACATTAAGCACTTTCACGTGCCCTATCACACATTGAAGGTTCTGATGGAACTGTGAAACTGCAATATAAGGAATTGTAATGGGTATGTGCAGTTAGTTTAGAACTATATATGGCTTAGAACCATACTTACATTAACGTTTCATAAATTCCTGTTAGCAGATTTTCAATTCATGAAAGAGTCAAATTTTTAATACCAATTTTACAGAATGATTGCTGGGACAATGATTGGATTGACGTATCATAATGAATTTTTAATAAAAAAAAGGGTGACATAGTAGAAACAAGTTCTTTTTTGTTAAAGAAAAAAAAGGAAACGTTAAACACTTGATACGTAAGAAAAATAAAGACTTTAAAATATCATATACAAATTCAATAACATATTTTAAAAAAGTACAGGCATATCACAGATATGAAATATCATCACTGAAATTGGATAGAAGTGCTATTCTTAATGTTTAATTGCATAACTTGAACCCCACTCAGAAGATTAGTTAACTCCAGATCAGTGGTTTAGTTATGGGGAAGGTTTGAAATTATACATAACTCTTGGTTAATGCGCTATTGCACAGTAAGCGCAATATAATATATATATATAAGTTCAAAATGTAGAGAAAACGTGGAAAATATTACAGAACAATGAAAAAAAAAGGGGGGGAAAGAAAAATAATAATAAAAATAACAAGTAACCGGAAAAAAAATTCGAAAAAAAGGAAGAAAAATCCGGAAAATAAAAGTTATAATCTTTTCATCAGCTCATACGATTATATCCGCAAAAAGGAGTGCTTTCTAATATTGTAATAATATAGCTAAAGCAAAATATATCAATACAATAGTGTGAGGAACATTCGAAAAAATTTTACAGAAAATTTACAACAATTAAAATAGAACATATTAAGTAAAAATATCACGTAAAAACAGGAAATAAAATATAAAGAAAAAACGGAATTAAACATAAAATGAAATCNACAGTTATGTCTTATAAACCGTGTCTGCCGTTGTCCTGTCTTATTAAAAAGTTGTTGTATTTTTCAATCTAGCTGCGCATCTTACAGGTATTTTTATACGATTTTATTACACCTGCTATGTACGTTTGTGATTTCAGTACAAAATTTGTCATCGATTTTTCGATAACTTGCATTTGTCCAAATGTTGAAAGTTTTCTTCCGATGCTTTGCATTGCCAGCAGATTTGGCTCCCAATTTTTTATTAAATTGCTGTAATGTTCATATTTTGCTCTTTGGCTAATAAGTTTGCCGACCACTGGTTTAGAACTATGGTTTAGAACCATACTTGCATTAACGTTTCATAAATTCCTGTCAGTAGATTTTCAATTCATAAAAGAGTTACACTTTTAACACCAATTTTACAGAATGATTGCATGACAATGATTTGATTGATGTATCATAATGAATTTCTAATAAAAAAAAAAAAGGAAATGTTAAACACTTGATACATATGAAAAATAAAGACTTTAAAATATCATATACAAATTCAATAAAATAATTTAAAAAAGTACAGGCATATCACAAATATGAAATATCATCACTGAAATTGGATAGAAGTGCTATTCTTAATGCTTAATTCTGTAACTTCATAACTTTGAACCCCACTCAGAAGATTAGTTAACTCCAGATAAGTGGCTTAGTTATGGGGAAGGTTTGGGGGACAAAACCCCCTCCGAAATTATACATAACTCTTGGTTAATGAGCACAGTAAGCAATATATATATATATATATCAGGAGATAACCCCCTCAAACATACATTAAAACTACGCCACTGCTCCAGATTGAAGTATTGATGTAAGAGGTCGTGAGTATTACTAAAAAACAGCATAAGGGAACAACAATGACGAAATAAATAAAAAATAGTGAATACTCACTGTACAAATATTCTGAGCATCCGTCGAAACCCTCTTCATCTTCCTCACACTTTTCAGCGGCCGTTTCATGATCGCTAAGAGTTGTAGCAAATATACACGCTCCCCTCTCTACCAAGTACTTCACCATTGCTAAATTATTGCAAGAGGCAGCACAATGCAAGGGAGTCCTGAAAAGAAAAATAATTACGTTCAGCAATGACGCACTTTGAGGAAGGATTACTCACACATCAAATAATTTAAACAGGAAAGCTGTTTTTTGTAATTACCATCCATCACTGTCTTGCGCATTGACATCACATCCGAACTCCACGAGGAATTTAACAATTTCAAGATGTCCAGCACAAATGGCATTATGAAGGGCTGTGATGCCTTCATCATTTGCTGCACTTGGATTTGGAACCTGAAATGGACATAACATATTTAGCGATTTTCTTTTGTTTCAATGCTTAATGTAAAAACGGTAATGATAGAGATTTTAACGAAACTATGTACACAGAAACTAAATATGGGTAGTTAATGAAAGGAATTTTATATAAAAAATCAAAGTTTATAAAAAGAAAAAGATTTATATCTTTTATAAGAAGTGTGAAATGAAGTATTTCGATTAAAAAACTGCATCGTTGTATCTCAGATTATTAATAATAAAACAAAGTTAAAAGCACAAATGAACAGATTCATAAAACAAATCATACTTTCTGTACAATATTGTACTTTCGTCAAAGACTAACTGATGGAAGTATAGTATCGAAACGATCACCTTATACACGAACCTGTTCACTAGGATGCGATTCTCTCTTTAAGGCCCACGGTATCGTATATGAGACGAGCCTTTCTGATTCTAGCGGCCCACTATCACATTGACTTAATCTCAATTCCGAACTCTAGCTTTAATTAGTGCATATATGTACTCTTTAGTACGTATACACTCGTAACTCGCGGTCCTGGGAAAAAGCTTTTTCTCTTCAACCCCCGCTCCCGAAGGGGTTGATACGTTGTTTCTAATTCTATTGAAACCTAACTAACCCTACGCATTTAAATAAAAGTATTAGTGCTGATACAGTACAATAACGAAGGACCTTTGTCAGTGCCGAGGCAAAGAATCATTTCATCAGTCATTCTTTGGAAACGATCGTCTGCTTTATCAACCTGCTTATGCATATAACATCGCTTTATCCTTTGCACCACTACCGGTAAAGTCACAATTCTTCTAATTTGGATAAAAATAATATAACCCTAACAAATTCCGTGATTTCGCAAATTTATTTTGCGGACTAAACAGTGCTCTGCATAGGAAGCCATTTTCTTTATTTTCACCAAGTTTTAAAATTAGTTACGAAGTTCGTTAACAGAGGGCACTACTAACTGATATCAGATCAGATAGATTATTTATAAAAACAACGTGCTGCAATGTAAAAATACGCCAGCGCAATATTCAAACATCCCCAGAAAACATTGTTTTATAAGAACAGCGCCATTTGTTGACGAACTTCGAAAGTTATTTCCAATGAGAGAAATAATTCATTATTATTAGTTTAATTTTTACAAAACGCAGCGATGAAACTTTTCTAAAGGCTAGCCGTTAAAGCTAAATTTGCATATAACTTACTTCTTTTGCTGTTTTCTTGACGAGTTCTAATTCTCCTTCAAGAGCGGCATCTAACAAGAGGGCCAAAGGATCAAAGCTGACACGACGAGGATTTTTGACAGACCCTTTTGATTTCAAATTGCCTTTCTTCCTCCGCATCGCAACGCCACCTGATGGTCTGTCTGAAAACTGCTCGATGTCAGAAACACTTCGATCAGTCGAATCAGGTGACAAAGATGATGACTGGATGGAACTGCTACCCAAGGAAATGTGATCAGACGGTGAATCTGGAGAGGGTGGTTTTATTTCTAGATCTTCTGAAACAAAAATTAAAATTTGAAACGATACTGATTAAAGGTTTATTTTAGCACGTGAAAATTACGAAAAGGAAAAAAAAGCGAAATATTTAATAAACGTATTACAGTTATCATAAATTTCTAATTACCAAAGGATTATGAAACATCCAGCATTCGTGGGATTAAAATTTGGTTGGTATTCCAACAGTACATATTGCACAGATTATTGTACATATTAGGTAATTAAACTGTAAATAGTAGTAGATAATTTTTTTTTTAAAAAAAAGAAATACTGAAATTTCTAATAAAATTTGTACAAGATATTATAGACGAACAACTTTCAGCATAAATAAGACGTTAATTGGATAAACATAACATGAGTCCTGCAGAAAAATATTTTATGTGATATTCCGTAATAAGCACTTGAAATAAATATATTTATGGAATCTTTGAAAATGAAGTAAAAATTCTTTGTACAGTGCACAAAAAATAAACGGACCACCATGAATAATTTTTGATCTAATGATAGGATCCTTAGGTTCTAAGACTCGACCTCAAATATGCTAATTAATTAGTGTAGACGATATTTTAGGCAGAAGAACGTACTTTCACTGAATAAACATACCTTTTCTTTTGATGGATATCGGATATCTAATTTCTAAAGTGCAGGGGGTAGCCGCAATCCGGGAAATATGGTCCCAATAGCTTGGTTAGGAGAGAGATCCAATATTTGGACTCTTTAATGCTAATTTTATTTTTTGCGTATTTCACTAGTCTCGAGATTTTTTAAAGTAAATTTTTTTTTGTTGCGATTATACAATTTATTTATCTAAAGATAAATTCCTGAACAAAATTCTAAGTAAATATGTATTATTTTTCACTATTTTATTTAAAAAAAACAGTCGAAAAAATTTTGAATTGTAAGGTTTATGATTTTTTTTACATAATTTTGAAGAATGTAAATTTACACGCAAATTTTGAGCAAAATCGGTCGAATAGTTCCTCAGAAATCGAATTTTAAGAATACGATTTTCTTAAAATTCAATTTCTCGCGAAAAACATATAATTAAATAAAATAAAAAAATAAACATTTACTAAAACTTTTTTTCAGGGATTCAGTTATCTTTGCATAAAAGAATTTCAGAATTGTGTGCTATAATTTTTCTACCTTAAAAGTTTTTCGAGATATGGCAAAATACACAAAAAGTAAAATTAACATTATGGAGTCCAAACTTGGGACATTTCCCAGCTATTCCTTATATTTCGGGGGTCAGAATGTTAATTCAGAAAAAAAGGTATGTTAATTCAAAGAAAGTACGTTTTTGTGCCTGTCTGTTTTGTGTTGTTTCTTAACTTCGTAACTTAAAATATTGTCTGCGCAAATTAATTAGCATACTTAAAGCTATCCCATCGAACTATTAAAAATTGAGTCGTAGAACGTGAAGATCCGTTCATTAGATCAAAAGTTTTTCAGGGTAATTTTTTTACATCTCACTGTACATTATTGGCGCAAAATAATGATATGGGAAAAAATAGTAATGTTTCAAACTTTTGACTATTTTTTATTAAGGTAGGAAAGAACAGAGAAGGGTTTAAAATTACTAAAAACTATTTTATTTGCCAATCGAATTGGATTGCATTTTTGTTTTGATAAGAATCGCTTTTGAGATTCATTCCCAAATAGACTCCTTTTAATGATTTTTGCTTCCCACTATTGCATTTTTGCCAATCGAATTGGATTGCATTTTTCTTTTGATAAGAATCGCTTTTAAGATTCATTCCCAAATAGACTCCTTTTAATGATTTTTGCTTCCCACTATTGCATTTTTGACAATCGAATTGGGTTGTATTTTTCTTTTGATAAGAATCGCTTTTAAGATTCATTCCCAAATAGACTCCTTTTAATGATTTTTGCTTCCCACAATTACATTTATTCTCTTCAATAGATGATTGTTCATAGTTTGAAAACATCTTATTCATTCGAACCTCAACATTAATATGAAATTCCTGATGTCCATAAATTTTTATACAAATTTTTACAGGGATTCCAAAAAATATACATGACGATACATTTTGTATTTCTAAAATTTTGGTATTATATTGCATTTATCATACATGACATTTGAATGCAAGCACGATAAATGTATGTGCGATACATGTATATATAAAAAAACCCTCTTACTGGTTTTGTCTAAGGAGCAGTTGAGTTGCAATGGTGTCTTAGGAGAATTCATTTCATTTTCAGAAGTCTGTACCTCCAGTATTAGGTGCTGATTGCTGTCCTGTGTGAAAGGTCGGCGCTTTGAGTTGAGGGATGAATCCGATCCATTGAGATCCGATGGCGGCGTCTGATTTTCGGGGAAATAAAATGCTGGCGGCAATCCTATGCGGCGATTCAATGATATGTGCATATTGTTGGTTTCTGCAGAGTGCGATGAATTATTGCCATTGATTGGAAGACGATTCTGTGGTGAGCTGCGAGCCTCGATCTCTCCGTTAAGCGATGTACCTGAGTCAGAATTATCTGATGTAGTTTTCTGATGAAGATGGTGGTTATACACGGAGGGTGCTAGGCGATGGTGATTGCTGATCGGAGGAACTTGAGTCACAACTCTGTAAAAGCAAACCATAGGAAGAATTTATAAGTTCTGAATTGTTGTGTGAAAATGTTTCTGAGAAATTTATTTATTTACCAAGAGTAAAATATGACAAAATAATGAATAAAATCCATGGCAGTAGAAAAAGGAATTAAATGAGTTAATATAATTTAAGAGTTGCGCGGAAGACCTTAAGTGACTTTTTAATGTGTTAAAGCATATCAGACTTATATACTTAAAATAGTAAATAAAGATTATAATTTTCTTCGAATTCACAAACTTTTGTGGCGTAACTTCCACTATAAATATTGAATACCAATTCACTAGTATATAATACGCGGTAAACTTCCTCCATCAAAAGGTACCTCAAGATAGAATCAAGTTAACATGTCTTATATACTAGTGAATTGGTATTCAATATTTATAGTGGTAGCTTCACCTCATTACTCCCCTTCCAGAATTTTATGTGTGATAGAATTCGATGAATGATTACCACCAGTTGATTCATGCTGTTTATTTATTTATATCTTTTTTTTTCATTTCTTTTTGTTTATAGCATTTCGCTTATTAGTTTTTTTTTTGTTCATAGCATTTCGCTATTTTTTTTTTCTCTTTGAGTAGTTTATATTAAGCAAATCAACTGTTTAATGTGGACTATCCATCATGTATGTTAGCGAGTTCAGATCACGTCCGCAGGTCACCATTGTGGGGAATTATATAAATCGACTGTGTTAACCTTCATCTATCAAAAGGTACTTCCAGATAGAATCAAGTTAACATGTCTTACATACTAGTGAATTCGTATTCAGTATTTATAGTGGCAGTTAGGCCACACTTTCAGTTAGCGAAATATACAAATCCCCAACATTGCTTCTTAAATTGATCACTGGCTTAGAAAGTCTTAGCCAGTGGGTGGGAGGAACGGTGGGTAAATATCCCCTTCAATACTCAGTAATTTTTAAAGGTTCCCCTCAGTATTTTTGACAAATAAAACTTTTTTTCGCAAATTATCATCGATTTAACTTTCTTAAAATTAAAAAGAAGAACGAGATAAAAAATAAATAATCTTTTTTCAGGAATGGTGGGTAAATATCCCCTTCAATACTCAGTAATTTTTAAAGGTTCCCCTCAGTATTTTTGACAAATAAAATTTTTTTCGCAAATTATCATCGATTTAACTTTTTTAAAGTTAAAAAGAAGAACGAGATAAAAATAATTAATCTCTTTTCAGGCCTTTAGCACATTTAAAATGCTTTTTTCTTATGTGAGAAATTTAGAAAAATAATGTAACCGTGTAATTTAATTTCGTCACCCTCTAAAATTGGCACCCTAAGACGCCCATGGCGTTAGCACTTCTAACGTTAAGTTTTTAAAGGTTACTGTCAACTGCTTATTGCCAAATATACATGATTGATTCCACCTCACAAAAATGACTATCTTTATTTATGAGAACTAAAAAGTTACTCATATGCTTTATTGAAATAGTCAAGTTTACGTAAATTAAAGCTACAAGAAATATTTTCTATATCTATTGCATATCTGCAACCTGCAAGCGTCGTTATCGTTGGTAAATCGTGGCAATTGTTGATTCAGAAGTTAATCAGATTCGACACACACGCGTGACGTCGCTTACAACTACAGGTATTCAATTAAATATGATTTAAATCACATGATTAGTCATATTCACTTCACTTCTTCTAGAGTTGCAAGTATCCAATTGATCAATCGGTAGCCAGCAGCAACAAGAATGGAAAGGAACATGCAGTGTTGCTGTTAGTAACCAGCAGATGCAAACAATTCATGAAATGTTGAAGGTCAACTATTCTAGCACAGCCTTATAGGTTGAGTATCATTTTTAAAATGTTAATATATCGCAACTCGGCAATAAAGACAATTAATTGAAAGTTGAGAAAGCAAATTGAGAAATAAACTGTACCTAGTTATAGTAAATTGTACCTAGTTAAGAAATAAATTGTACCTTTGCCCATCAGAGGTCCTGATGTCCCCTTTGAGAACGGATATTGCTTGATCCACAGAATCTGTTTTTGGCAAATTATTTAAAGCACCATGGATTTGGCGTGGAGGAGGTACCGGTTTACTTGGAGTCCCAGGTTTTGGAGGAACAGCTGGCTTGTTTGCATTTTCATTGCTCCTTGCACGAGCATAGCTATAGCTGGGAGCAGGGTGCTGCCTAACTGGTGTTTGTGGTATCGTTCTCTGTATTCCAGGCTGCCCAGATGTCATGACAGTAGGAGGAAGTATTACCTGATGATTATTGAAACTCACTGGGGTTTTGGATCTCGCTGTGCTAGGAGGTCCGATTGAGTTAGGTTTAGGTTGTGATGTAATTACCTGTAGAAGACAAGGTTTAACAAAAAATTAATATTTAAAATACCATTACAAAATTACACAGATCGTGGTAAAACAATCTATGAGACTATAAGGTTTGATAAAAAAAAAGTACAATTTAAAATACAATAATCACACAATGCAGTTTAAAGAGGTTTTATTGAGATAAGTTTAGCTGTAATGTCATCATATCGAAAAAAAAAAAAGAATGATTTTCTGAAAAACCTTTTCATATCAAAAATGTACAAATTCGAAGATTATCAAAATGAGAAAAAAAATATATTGGAAATTAAAAGTGTAGCTTATTCACTTAAGTTGCACATTGTAACAGTTAATTTTTCGATCGAATCAAACTATCTCACGTTAATCATGGCATTAAACGAATGCAAAACTGTGCCTCTTAGAATCGTGGCTCTTAAAGTCCGAACACTCTTCTAAAGTCCAAAAGAAAGTGGCAAACCACTTGAGTAATTGATAGTTACAGGTAAGAATGCTATAAATTCGGTAGAAAATTTTTTTTCCAGCTGCATAAAATTTGCAGCAAATAATTCAAACATAATCAGAAAACATCTTCGTTCAAATATTTATATTATTATAAGAATAGCTAGGAGAATAGGAACACCAAAATTAATTCAACAATCCATCGAATTCTCTGTTAAGTAAACGTTAAACTGTGAAAAAATGTGGAATGTACAGTGGAAAAAAATCCAAGTATTAACTCTAATATCTAGATCAAGCTCTGCATTTATCTAATAGAAAAGTTTATGCTGAATTTTGAGCTATCAGTCGGAGAATATTATCTAATATTGTGTAAAAAGTAATAAATTTTTTATGTTTTTTTGTAAAGGAGGAATCAGCATATTTATATGTAATACTAATCTGGAATTTCATTCAAAAACGACCTTGAGCTTTATTGAGAGTAATTGCAACATAATTTTTTTTGTCAAGTTAGTCAGGTCGCGATACATATATCTCCACTTAAACAATTATCAATCCCAAGTGTTTGATGGGGATATATTGCGTATAATAGGGATAAATTGTAGTAAATAATCTTCTTAACTTTATTGAATTTTCAAATTAAAACCACTAAAAGAGGCAAAATACTCCTACTTATTTATCAGCAGATAATGGATACAAAGGTATCATGCGCACTAAAAATAGAGACACATGCACCTCGTAACGACAAATTAACATAGGATGTAAGCTTGGAATCTTTCACATTCGAAGAACATATAATAGACCAGAAAATAAATGAAACATATCATGGAGATTAAGTAAATTAGCAATTTAAAATTTACGAATTTAACATCAATATTTTAGTAAAATATATTATTTCGTTATATTTTATTATATTTAATTATTTTACGTAATCATTTTAAAATTCTCCCATAACAATAACATTTCAATACATATCGAAATCCTTTCATATACCTCTCGCACCTTTTTTGGATTGAGAGACAAACAATCGTCATCTAAAATGTATTGTTTAATAATTTGGTTTAGTTTTTAACTTTGCGCTGTACCTATACTAATACATGAATTTTGGGTCACAATTTTTGTCTTATTAATTTAATTGTATCTAATGGTATCATTAAGTTATCAGCTTTCAACGTTTGGATTATCCACGCTTTTCTCCTACGCGATATTCACGCATTAGAAATCAGATACACTGTCCACTGCATGCTCATTCGTATTCACATATTTTACGATATGGACGATAGCTTTATTGATATAATATAACGATACGAATTCAGACATTGCGAATCAATCACCATTTGATTACTGGAGTTCTACTACATTTCAAACATCAATGCGATTTATTTCCTATCAAGGTGTAATTGGTATCAATAGTTCACGCAGCTATCAGAATATTTCAATACCTGATTGTCATAAAATGTTTTCGAAGAAATGTATGCCAAGTATATGCAGATTATTTTTTTATTCTAACAAAAGTATAATTTTAAACGTAATGACTTTTATAACCCAGACATTGCTCTCAACTATTTATTATGATGCATTAGTTTCAATTCAAGATACTAGGAGTCGTTGGAATAAAGTGATGATTCAGTCGAGAGGCTTAATGCCAGAGCAATATTGGATATGTATTTAAAATAAACACTCCGTTCTTTTTTAAATAATTCAGTGTTAACTAACTTTTGCTTTCTCATCAAAGTTTTAATACTGGTGGTACTCATCTCTAGATGTCTGCTATTTTATAATGTTAGGAATATAGAAAATAAACTTGCGCGTTTTATAGATTTGAAAGCTTTTCGAATATTCTTTCATCGGCATGGAATATTAAAGTGTGCAGATGCCGTCGTCAAATTTCAAATCAAGTTGAAAAATGAATAAAAATTATAAAATGTTACAAAAACTATGCGGGGTGGAAAAATTATTTTTCAAATAGCATGCCTTTGTAATCTTTCTGTACTTTGCAATCAAAGAGAACATCATAAAAAAATACTACCAGCGCTTTAATTCATTTAACATGTATTTGCTTCGAAAAGTTTTTCTTCAGTATGCGAGCTGTGCCCAAAGAATTTTTAAATTATATGGTGAACATTTAACTTTGCAGAAAAACAAACGGACTTCTAAAAGTTCTTCGTGAGTAGCTCTTCCATTGTAATATTAAAAAGAATTTTTTCGTGTTCAGAAATAAGTATATCATAAAGAAATCTTTGTACATTTTTCTGACACTATAGATTTCTTCATGAAAAGACATTAAATTTCTCTTTCTGTCATTTCACAAAAAGCAAAATATTTTAATTTCTTATGCAGCAAAATCTTTAGCTATAGATTTGACAAATTATATTTAAAACTGCCATTAGTTTTGATACACGACTGATGTGCTTGAAAAAAGATTGATACGACAAAAAATGCTTAGATATTACTATTTATTTTACGACGCCTAAAATGGTTGATAGTTTTGAGAGAATTTGCTATTTAATGACGATATAATGATACATTGATACAGTATTATGTACATCAACATAATAAATTATTACTTACATTGTTACTCGATGAAATAGTTCCACTGCTGTTAGTTGTGGCTAATCTAGGCGGCAGGCCCCTCGTTGACCCGCTAGAGTTCGAAATAAAAGGCCGGGGCGATAAAGCCCCCAGACCACGTGGAGGTAAAGGTTTATTTGGGGGAGAATGTACACTGGGGGGTTCAGGATAAGGAGGCGGTCCACCATTTTGGTGAGAATGCTTCTCATCAGTTCCATTCACCAAATGGGATTTTTGATTATTGTCTCCATTTCCTGCTAAGGGAAACTTCGTATTATAAGGAAGAGTTTGATATTTAGGATCCTTTTTATTAGGCGTGAATTCAGTGTCACTGGGCACTTTCAGGTCATCTTTTATAAGTTCGACATCTTGAGCAGCGCGTTTAAGGGGTTCGACAGCAGCTATGTTGGGGCGAGGGCGAGTACGACTTGCAGCGTGCAGTTGGCTGCTGAGCTGTTGGTTGAGGAGTCTCTTGCGTTGCAAACGTTGTTGAAGCTCTGCAATTCGCTGGTCCATTTGGGATATTTCTGACTGTCGCCTCGCAAGGGTTTCTCTTTGCTGCGCAATTCTTGCATTTTGTTGCTCATTCAATTTGGACCGATACTGAAAAAAAAATTATCGAATTAAAATACAAGTAGTTGTTTTATTAAACATCAATAATCATATTTGTTTGTTGATACAATAAGGAGCATGGAATTTTAGACTTGTCTTAGAAAGGAAAAAACTTATTAGAAAGAATTATTTTTCCTACCCACTGCATACATGGGACTTACCATTATATTGCTCCAAGTTCTTCAATTCAATTAGTTAATATTTTGAGAAGAGGGTAAGTTTATTTTGCTTTATGAATCGAAAACTCATTAAAATTAGAGATTCAACATACCAGCAATTCCCTCTTAAGCTTTTGAAACTCAAGTGCAGCCGGCGATGGGGATGTACCATGCTTAAGACTCGTTACATCGCCTCTCCTAACTTCCTCTAGTTGGCGAGTAAGTTCTTCCACTTTGGCCACCGCCATTGAAAGCTCTTTTTCTTTTTCATTAAACAAAGCTCGAATGGACTCCAATTCTGCACCTGAAAGATAAAAACAGCTCTTAGCACACTTAAACATTTTAAATTACATCCAGTCTTCCAATACAATAACACGAAGAAAATTCAATACAGTGAATTAGTAGAATTATGTGCTGGGTGCTAAAAAATTAATTCAAAGTCAAACTTTCGTCAAAACATTGTAATTGTGAATCACCCAGAAAGGAAAACAATAGTTGAACTCTATCATTAGTATTGTAACTCGTGCAAAAAAGGGAATTCGAAAGTTTTATGTTTCATGAAATCTTCGTTTACCTCAATACCGGTGATGGAGCTTTTGTAGTGGTAACTGTTTATTTACGGGTGATAGTCATCAACATCATCACCAGCTTTCTGTACAACTCGATGCAATGACGTAGAAATCGTAAGATATTCTAAGCAGCTGTTCTGCTTTTAGTTTGAATGGAATGGAGCTGTCTTGAATTCTAAATAGCAACTTGAACATTTCAGAAATTAAAGCAACACGTGTATTCACGTGTAAAGTTGCTAATGTTACAGCAATTCTCAACACCATCAATTAATTTCTTCTTTACTGATACTATGATGACATGGCCAACGCATGTTTGAACATTTTAAAGTTCCTCGGCACTGCCGACCACCTTCTATCCAACATCTTGACACTGTTCTATAAGGAAATACGGATTTACCGCAATCTTTGTAAGATGGAAGAATAGATGCTGTACTAACTCTAAACACATTAAAACTTTATTCAAATCCATTGAACCTGCTTCGAAAACATTACAACATTAAGTCACCAGTTAATACAAGAATCTGTACTTCTCGACAGTGCGCATGCGTATAATGTTGGCAGAGAGCCATCCTAGTATCATCATTTGTTTGCATGATACGTCTATTAAATGACGTATTGGCATTTTAGTGGCATGTTAGTATTATATTAAAGTTCAAATGTTTGTATTTTGTTTCAGCAGTTGACTATTATAAATTTAACTAATTTATATAGTTTTTAGAACTTTTTGAAATGGGTGAAAAGCTAGTGGAATACATTATAAAGCCTTTAACCAGGCTTATCGACAGACTTAGAACTTAGGTAAAATAGACTTAGACAGATAGACTAAGATAGACAGACTTAGGTAAAATAAATGCAGAAATACATAAATTATCTGAATATTTTTTAATTAAATATGCATGATGCGGTGTTTTTGAAAAGACAGAAAAGTAAGTTACGCAAAATTAAAACATACATTAAAAAAAAATACAGCTTACGTATTTAAAGAAGTACTTCAAGCAATCCTTATTACTTTCTTTCGTGGTATTAGCAATGTTTAATTTATCACTCGAAAGCAGCTATTTTGTGACGGAGAGTTAAAGAATGCACAAGTAGTGGTTAGCATAAAATTAGGATTATTAAAAAATAAAAAAAATTTGCGAAGAGATAGCAGAAATTACCAACATTGCATTGGTCAAAGGACTATTTATCAAACTATTATTTAATCTAAAAAAAAAAGAATTAATTTAACTACTTTTGAAAAAGAGTGTGGTAACTCTTACGTAGTTATGAGAAATTTAATCATAAAATAAATCGACATAAATAAATAAATTATAATTAATAATTAAAAAGTACGATTGGAGATTGTTTCATTATTTCCTTACCTCTTAGATTCAGGCTCGTATTTCAAGGATTAATTTTTTTCATTCCTTTCTTAAGAAATTTAGAATAATAAGTATAAACATAATAACCATTTAAAAATACTTTTTCCTTAAATTTCAGATTACTTTAGAAAAACACTACTGTTTTCTACCCGGCAGGAAAAAATGCAATTGAAACAAATGAAACGCAAACATTTGAATTAAATTTCAAACGAAAAGAAATTAAAGAAAGTGAGTAAAATTAAATAAATTTACAAAAAAAAAATATCGATTTAATATTACATTACATTTAAGTCACGGGGGAAAAAACACATGTTTGTTTTTATTTATTTTTTATAGCAAGTTGTTTATAAACAGGCTTGTGATAAAATTTTCTTCTTCTTGTACTCTATTTTTTAGTGGTTTGGGTAATTTGAAACAGGTTTTGATGCTTTCCACGGCGGATATTTAATTGCCTTTTATTCATTTATCATTTATTCCAGCTTAAGTCAACTTTAGAACCCCCCCCCCTCCAAAAAAAAAAACCACGAAAATCAGGGGGTCAACTTATAAATAAAGTTAGACATTTATTTATCCAGAAATTTGTATTGATGCATTATAAACAATGAGATAGATATGAATAACACCGTATAAATTTACCCCTTTCAAAAACTATTTTTAACATGATATATACAATTCCTTTTTTTAAAGAAAAAAATACAGTGGTTTAAATTTACGTTCAGAAAAAAAATACATTAAGAATAAGAAAAGTAGAGCATTTCAAAAAACTAGAACACAATGTAAAAACTTTTAAAACATACTATAACGCTACAAATTTAAGGATTCCCGAAAACGGTAGTAGCATCGTCTTACTGATCCTACTCAGTAATGGATTCTACTTTTTCATCTGCTGAGTCCCACAAAAATCCTCGTCACCTCCATCCAAAGAATTAAAAATTTCACACTTTTTAAAAGATTTTACAATAATATATTAATCCATATTTTTTCAAGCGATTGATGAATCATTTGACTAATCGCCTCAGAGCATCTTTATGCCTGAGTAAGAATGCCTGATATGAAAAGTATGCGCCGCCTATTAATGCATCTTTATTTGAGGGCAAATGTATAAAATCCAGAGAGAACAATGTGAAATATTTTTAACTTGAGAAAATTTTGTAAACTTAATAATTTTTTTTTCGTTACAAATTTTCATATTTTGTTTTTCAGCGGTCGACTTATATGACGGGTTATATTTAGAGCTTATTTGAAAAAAAAAAATCCTCTTGTAAACATATTTTGTTTAGAAAAAGTAAAGAACTAATAATTTGTGTCTTCTGATTTTAGTGCATCATTCATGGAAACAACCAAGACTAAATTTTATAAAAACAATTAATAACCAAAAATAATGCTGACATTAACATATAGTTTGAAAAGTTGTCGTAAGATGGCAGCACCACAAATTCAACACTGTAAGAAAGCATTAAAATGTTCGTGTTTATATTTTTCAGATATGATTTTAAAATACCTATATCATGTCAAAACATTTTGCTTGGACCAATGAAAAACCAAAATATTCAAAGACAGCTCTCAAAATACCAAACTGAATAAAAAAAATTATTATAATAATTAGTATACTCTAAATGTGATTCAAGTGGTTAAAAAAAGTTTACTTAAAATTATATACGAAAATAAAATTTACAGTAATTTAAAAATGAAATATAGTAAAAAAAAAGTAGTTCTTATTTATATCCTAAGTGTTTGGAACTATCTAAGTAGTTTAAAATGAAGCAAAAAATTAAATTAAAAAAAAAAAAAAAAAAAAAAAAAAAAAAAAAAAAAAAAAAAAAAAACATGTTGAGGCCTGTCTTTAAAATGTCATAAGATTTTGATACGCCCTTTAACTTCATATCAAAATAACTCGATGATATATTATAATGCATGCTAGAATGTCTGGGTTCATAAAAATATGCAAAAACTGGGAATTATTTATTGATTTTATTATTTTCATTAAGGTTGGAGAAATTCGCCAAATTGGCTATTAAAAAAATTAATAATTTTACAATTATTTAAACTACTTATCTGTTCTCAAGTTCAGACAACAAGGCACAATGGTATACATACATTGTTAAAAATTAAAGTTTTTATTTGAGTTTAAAGCTCTTAGAGTGTTTTTTTCCCACATGATTAAAAAGTTACTATAAACAGCCTCATGAAGCTTTTGAATTAGAAAAAGAAAGATGTTGGTATTGATTTTGGCACCTTTTATGCTTTTGTAAAATTGAAATCGAATTCAAGAATTGCATAAAATATAAAAAGTTCTGAAACATAAAATGGCGAATACAAAACCGATGATTGCATTGATGATTGCCGAGCATTGAGCTCGACTCTATTCACATTTTCAGTATACTATTCAAATGAAACTCTTAGAAAAAGGAAGACGCAAAACTGCATCGATTTTGACACCAATATGCTTTCGTAAAAATGAAACAGAATCGAAAAAATCATATTAAAGAAAAATAATTCAAAAATACAAATATCGAATGAAGAAAACGGGGTTTGGCGATGGGAAATTTAGAGCTGGACAGTATAGCAATTGAAAACACTTTCCACAGAGTATTAAAATGAAATACTTTAAAGAAGAAAGGTGCAGCACACACTATTTGAATTGATTTCGCTACGAACATGTTTTCGTAAAAATGAAATAGAGTCTAAAAATCTAATAAATGAAAATGAATTTCAAAATGTAAATATTAAATGTAAAATCTGGACACTGATTTGAAAATGTTAAGCTTGTTTATCATCAGACAACATTTTTCTCGAAGTTAAAACTCTCAGAAAAAGGAAAATAAAATTCATAGAAAATGGACGGTGCAATACTGTTTGGCAATGATTTTGTCAGTATTTTTGTAAAAATGAAATAGTCAAAAATTCAAAAAAAAAAAAAAAGTTCTACATTGAATGCNAAAAAAAAAAAAAAAAAAAAAAAAAAAAAAAAAAAAAAAAAAAAAAGTTCTACATTGAATGCAAAATCCAGGCCTTGGCGTGAAAACTTTGAGTACGAAAGGTTTCATATTCAAAAGCAACATATTCCTCTATGTCAGGGGTGGCAAACCTTTTTGCACCAACTTGCCATTTTTTCTAAAAAATTGTTTAATGTGGTCATAGATGTGCCATCAACTAGTTTTAACTTCGTGATTATTGAGAAAGTAATAATACTGAATACTATTAACTCAAAACTCTTTATATACTATGAAAAAAAAACATTTTGCAATGTCTCAATTATACGCATAATTCAACTTAAAGTAACATCAGTGTGACTTCTGTTGTTGCAAATCAGCTGACAAATAACTTATATTAGATTGTATGTTAGTTTAAGTAGGACTGTTAATTTTTTTTGC